CATGAGCCAGTAGTTAGTGGTACTAGCAGTAGTAATAATATCTAACATTTATAGAGCACTTACTGAGTACCAGGTACTGTTCTGGGCATTTTACACATCATTCTCATAATAACTCTACAATGTAGGTACTGTTGTTATCTATTTTCTTTATATACTTGAGGAAACTGAGGGACAGAGAGGTTAAAGAACTCGCTAAGGTCATACAGTAGATCGAACTAGGATCCAAGCCAGTAGTCTAGTTCCTAACCCTTCACAAACATACCTCATATCCTCTTTTTTCAGATATAGATCTTGAAGATTAGAGGTTGAAAAACTTCCCTAAGTTTCTAGTAAGCTAGAGGACAAGGATTTGTTCTGATAATGTAGATTTTATACTTGAATTAAAAAAATTTAATACATATTTTATTGGTACATTTTAAATATATGATACAGTTACACTCATCATTGGGATCTTGTACCTTTACATGATGCATCTTGATTCTTATTTTTTTCCCCATTCCCTAGTCTCCCTTCACCCCCTCCACCCTTTCCTATTTACAAAGACTTTTCTCATATTTTTTGTTTTCCTTTCTTCCCTTCCTCATACCCCCCATTTTCCCAACACCTTTAGACCTTTTCTTCCTATTATACAATATCAATTGCACAGTTTGATCCTTATTTACACTTTTAATTTCTCACACCAGAAAAACTATATGGTATTTACACACATGTGTCCTATTAATTTCACTTGAGTATGTCTTCAGTGTGCATCCACTTAGGTATAAATGTCTCTAGTTTCTCATTCTTTATGGCTGAGTAGTACTCCATTTTATAAAAGCAATCTTTATCCAAAAGAATTAAAGGAATCATACCACAGTGATTCATGCTCAGCCATGTTTATAACAGCACAGTTTGTGATAGCTAAAACTTGGAAAGAGCCTAATAGCCTATCAGCTGGAGACTGGATAAGGATATAGTTGAATTTTAACTACTCTGTCATATTGCCCTGCTTTACAATTAAAGACCAGGTCCTTTAATTATCTGTGGTAATCTTGATAACAACCCTATGAGGTCTCTATTGTACCTCCCATTGTAAGCCAAAGAAGGGAAAGTTTGGGAAAGTGATTTAGCAAGCTGTCCAAGATGAAACACATAGTGAGCTGTAAAGCTGCAGTTTACAACCAGGTCCATCTGACTCTAAAGCCCATGTTCTTAAAAGTTGTAGTGTGCAGGAAGGGAATGATGTGACAAAACAACAGCACTAGTGAAAAAGAGTACTTGTAAATTTACTGTGAGGCAGTGGTGTGATGCAAGGGGAATGCCATCTGAGGTTGCCTTCCTAGAATACAGTATACAAAGCAAGGAAGGCGACAAAGACCTATGCTAGTCTATTGGTGGAGCACTCTTGGAGCATTGTATGTAAGTATAGACCTTGCAGTTTTGTTGTTGTTGTTGTTGTTGTTTCAGGGATCAAACTCAGGACCTTGTGCTTGCAAGGCAGGTGTGGGGCCACTGAGCTACATCCCTGACCCTGGTCCCTGAAGTTTTAAAGAAAATTACAGGTATACCTGAAGCTCACCCAGATGTCAGTCTCCAGCATGGTGGTGAGCTGTCTACAGGAAGAACATTTGGTAAGCTGAGAATATAGCCTTTAAAAAGAGAAGACTTGGGAGGCTGAGTAGCTAGTATTTGAAACATCACCATGTGGTAGAGGAATAGTTATAGCTTCAGAGGTAAAAACCAGGCTGCGTATGCAGAAAATCAAAGAAGTAAATTTGGCTCCACACAGGAAGGATTGATTGGTACTGAATTTGAAGCATTTCAGAAATACAGTGGGTTTCCCTGTAAGAGAGTGAATTATTTATGAGGAAATCAGAGTGAACACTAATTTTAGGTGTTAAAGATTTACATATATCAGGTGTGGTGATTCTTAAATTGTTTTTAGTAGGTACAGTATAATATTCATCTGGGGAACTTGCTAAAGGCTGATCACAATGCCTTGCCTAGTAGAATGTTTTCAGCAGATCTGGGGTAAGGTCCAAGAAGCTGCATTTTTGAGTCAGTGTTTTTTTTTGTTTTTTTGTTTTTTTTTTTTGGTATTGGGGATCAAATTCAGGACCTTGCACTTGCCAGGCAGGTGCAGCACCTCTAAGCTACAAGAAGCTGCATTTTTAACAAGCAACCTAGTGGTCCCAAATCAGGAAATAACTGATTCATCCTTTGAGAACTAGTGAGACTAAGATCTCTTCTGTTTATTCTACAAATAAATAATTTAGTAAAAACATATGGAGGCAACATAATGACTGTTGAAAGACAGTTCTCTTAAGTTTTATAAAAGACCCATGACAAAATTCTTTAATATAGACCAGAGATTTGGCTCAGTGGTTCCACTGCCTGCCTTGCAAGCACAAGGTTCCAAATTCAATACCCAGAACCAAAAAAAATTCTTTAATATATTGATAGAATTAGAGATGAAGTTACTGAAATGTGGGATATTAAGACCAGAGGGAGAGGGTTTGATTCTTACCCTTTGTCACAAAATATTAGATTTTAATAGCAAAATAGAAAATGTAAATCCAACTTGAAAATCTTTAAGTACTTTAAATAAATACTCTACTCTGAATATACCAAGGTGTAATTTGATGGAGTCCTGGAAAAAGCGCTATGATTATCTTAATGCAGAGCGCCTGTGTAAGGTGAGCTACCAATCAGTTTTAGGGCCTAGGCTTATAAAACCTGCAGCCTGAAGCTCACAAGACAGGTATGAGTGTGAGTCGTAAACATTTGCAAGAGATTTCTAACTCTGGCCCATTTCTTGTTGGGGCTAGAGAGATTTTTTTTCTGGCAAGTATAATATTTGTTTGACTAATCTTAACTTTGTAAGCTACATTTTCACACTGTTCTCTCAGAAAGTTTTACCATTTATAAATTTTTAAAAGTGGTTCTTAGTGTAATTTACCATCCTATATTAGGAGTTTTTAAAAACTTAAGTTATATTTTATTTAAGTGTTTTGAGGTTTTAAAAAGATTTTTTCCCCTCCAAAATATTTTAAAAACAGGAAAGTTGAAGAATTGCTTTCTTGGCTGGGCATGGTGGTGCACACCTGTAATCCCAGCACTCAAGAGGCTGAGGCAGGAGGATTGCTGTAAGTTCGAGACCAGTCTGGGCTACATAGTGAGTTCCAGGTCAGTCTCAACTACATAGTGAGACCCTGTCTCAAAAAAAAGGAAAAAATTGCTTTCTTGCCCTATTTTGCTGCTTTATAAGTATTAATATGCTTATTTAATTCACCAAGGATTTGTTTCTAGAAAATTATTTTTAACAGTTTGAGGATCTAAAATTTCCATATGGCAGTTATGTACTGATAACAAATCAAATTGTCATTCCTATGTGATTTCTTATTGTTTCCCATTGTGGTTTTAGGACTCCTCATAGATTGTTCTTAAATCATGAGAGATGAAATTGCAGCAGCAGTTTTCTTTGTCACAAGATTGGTGAAAAAACATGAAAGACTGAATAAACAGCAAATAGATGACTTTGCAGCAAAGCTGATGAAAATCTTGTTTGAAACATACAGAGGTCACTGGCATCCCAGTTGCCCTTCTAAAGGACAAGCCTTCAGGTAAGTGCTAGTATGTGGTATGGAAAAGGGAAGTAAACTTACAAGCAATAACCACCTGCTAGGAAAATGAAATGATTTTGTTTGTCTACAAGTTGTGAAAGTTTTATGGACTCAATCCATTTGTCTAAACATGAGCTTGAAAGAAAGATGTAGTAGTTGATAATATAGCTGAAAACTATGAAGGGAAGCCCCAGCATATAAGGTAGGTTACACAATTTCTAACATGTGTTTTCCATGAAAGATATACAGTGAAATCTGATAACTAATAGTGTGATCTAATGATACTCACATGTTATGAGTCACTGTCAGAACCTGATGTTTTACTCCTGTTTGTAAGAGTGGAGATTGGGGGAGGGGAAGATGGGAGAAAGGTGGGAGTTGTGTGCACGGAGTAGTGTACCCACAATATGATTTTTTTCCCTGCTAAAGGACCTGTCATCACATGTTAACTTACCTTTCCTTCTGCTTCCTCAAGGTGTATCAGGATAAACGATCAGAATAATGACCCCATTTTAAAAAGGGCATGTGCTGAGAGTAAAGTAAATTATTTTCACCTGGGACTTCCAAAAGAGCTGACCATATGGGTAGATCCCTATCAAGTGTGGTGTAGGTGAGTATTCCCATAGTTTGTGTGCTGTGACTCCCGGAGACAAGTTTATTTTAGCCAGGTCTCTCCATCTTTGTGAAAGATGATGTTCTCAAAGACTTAGCTTACTTAGTAGTGAGGACATACTGCTAGGTTAAGATTTTAGATGACAACTCTTACTTCCACATGGAAATGAAGTGGGAAGTGCAAAGAAGTTGCAGAATATTTGCAGTGTGACTTTAATCACTGCACTCTGTTGCAAACTGTGGACTTGCTGCATATAGTAGTGAGAAGTTACATCAGGAGGGAAAAAGAGTTATCTACAATGGGGGCATTTATCCATTAATTGAACCAAAAGAAACTAGTCTTTGTTGTTTTTTTGAGCAATTAAGATAGCTTTATAGGATATCTTCACTAAGATAATAGTATAGTAGCTAAAGATCATAGTGACTGCCACTCCGTTCTTTCAGATCTCTCTCTCTCTCTTTTTTTTTTTTTTTTGGTACTAGGGATCAACTCGGGACCTTGTGCTTTTGAGGTAGCTGGCAGAACCACTGAGCTAAATCCCCAGCCCAGTTCCACCCTTTTAGAAACAACTTTTTAATAGTTAGCATATTGTCTCCAGACATGTTGATTATAGAGATGCAACTTTTCACAAATTCCATCTTTAAACAATTTCTTTCCTACTTAGGTATGGTGAAAAAAACCATCCATTTATAGTTGCTTCTTTTAAAGGCAGATGGGAGGAATGGGAATTAACTCAACAAATCAGTTATGCTGCTAATAGAGCCTCATTGGACTACTCCTCTGGCACGTCCTCTGATGAAGAAAGTTGTAGCATGGAATCTCAGATCATTCCTAAAGTCAGCAATCCTAAGAGTGTTTATCAGGTCAAGTGTGCTACAGTTCTATTTTCTTTTTCTAAGTCTAAAAAATGTTTGCTTGTGGTAAACAAACAAAAGATGGAAAGAATAAATATAAAGATACCCTACAATGTTAGTATTTTGGCAAATCTTTTTCTGTGCCCTCAATCCCTATATATTATCTCTACTTGGCTGAGTTCTTAGGATCTGTGATTTTTGTTGCTGTTGTCCTGTTTCTTCATACAATATTTGAAAATGCAGGTTTCCTTCCACTGAAATTCCTTCAAATTAAATAGTCAGATTAGTGAGGTTTTATTTTTCTGCCAGTCAAAAATGACATCATTTATAGAAAGTTTATAATATTCAGGAAAGATCACAAGACTATACTCTTGCCACTAGAGAAGTTTTTCTTTGTGACCTTTTTTTTAAAAAAAAATTACAACCGATTGAAAGATAAACTTTATATAAGAAGTGAATTTCATATAATAATGAAAGTATTAGGAACATGCCCCCAGTACTTCGAACTGCATTCAGATTGATTTTATAGCCCACAATTTTAAAATTACTGGTCTAGTATCTCTTTATGTTTGTATCTTTTCTTAAATGAAGTACTTATATATTAAAATGCTAAAGTAATTAAAAAATTTAATATTTTAATGTTCAGTCAATTCCTTTAAAATTTACTATTGATATTCTAATTGTTTCCATGATTACTTTATTTTAAAAACCTATGTAAAAAACTGTTGACTTACTTAGAATTTAGACATTGCTATACAAATTATTTCTTGAGGTTTGAAATGTAGACATGGTATTATTGGGTCATTGGGTATGAACATTTACTGCTTTTTAACACATCTAAATATTTTTGCAGTCTCACTCCATGTAAAAATATCTGTTATACCATTTTTCATAAAATTGACTTCTCATTTAAGAAATAGATACTTTGATAAAAATTGTATCTATAAAAGATAATATAAAGTAAACGTTCCAAAAAACTCCACTTGCTGAAAGGTTTTGGGTACTAACTGCCTTACAAATTTTCTCTTCCTCAACCATTCTATAAAGTCCTAATGTACTTATAGGTCAGAGTATTTTAATATGTTCTATTACTGGCAACTGTTTCCTCCCTAATTTTCTAAGCTGTATGTATGTATATATGTATGTATATTATAGTTTCAATATATTTTTTGCATAACAATTTAAGTCTATGTAGTAAAATATTTGCCCTTATTTTCAGATTTTTTTCTTTCTTTCTTTTTTTTCTGGTACTGGGGATCGAACTCAGGACCTTGTGCTTGCAATACAGGTGTGGCACCACTGAGCTAAATCCCCAGCTGTTACTCTTATTTTTAGACTTATTTCTTTTCTTTAGGGATCAGATCTTTAGTCAACAAAATAGTTCTATGGCAGTATCTCTTCAAAGTGTGCTATGTAAAACATCTGTATCAACTATCTGGAATGTATGTAAAACATCTGTATCAACTATCTGGAATGTTTACAAAGATTTTTCTGGGTCTTCTTGGCCTGGAGAATCATCATTAGGCAGTTCTGGATTAGGGGAGCAGGGGTCAAGTAGGGATGAGAACTCAAGAATGTATTCAAATTTGAATATGTACATTTTAAAAACTTTTAATTGGACCAAGTTCAATCCCTGGGACAACAACAACAACAACAAACCAAAGAACAAAAAACCACTTAGTTGGATTAAAGAATTTGTTTTGGCTAAGATGTATAAAGTGACCTTATTTAAGTTTTAAGTATATAGAATTTATAGAAGTTAAATATATAGAATTCTGGAAAAATTTTCAAAGATGATTATCGACTCTCATTTTCATTTCCTGTAGGCTGAAAACTTGAAATGGCCCTGCCCATCTTGGTTCTACACAACCCGCCGAAAGAATGTGGCAGAGGGCCGTGGAGGAGTCCTTGGGCACCGGGCTGCTTATCAAGCTGCACGTAGGATCCCCAAGTGCTACAGGCCTGTCACTGGGCACCGCATGGACAGGTACCACTGGATCAACTCAAACCGATAATGCTGTGACAAGGTTGTGGTGGGAGAGCTTAGAGGACGGGCTTTGTCTTCCCTAAAATGAAAATGAGTCTGAGGCTCTTGAGAGGCCCAAGAAACAGAAAAAAATAGCCACATTAGGGACTACCGTGCATGATGATGAATCCTCTCACACAGATTAGACTCTGTTCTTAGCTATACTTTTAATTCTTATTTAATTTTTATGAAATTTTATGTAATGCTACTTAATGTACCTAGTAAGGTAATAGAATGAAGATAATAATCTGTGATAAAATTCAATGAATTATAAAAAGTAACAGTTTAAATAAACATACTGTTTTTAATACTGTACTGGTTGTTTGTTGCTAGGGAGTTTTAAAAGTTTGTTTCTTCATTAGCAATTGTTTTGAAAGTAGGTTTTTGGTTAGGGAAGAGTGATCTTGATAATACAGTGTTCTGGTTTCAACTTTATTTCTTTCCCTAATTGTTCTATTTCACAAGTCCAGTAAGAGTTTAAGAATTATTCTGATACAAAATTCCCTTCGTGTGTCTTTAAAATTTATGACTTAATATGTTTTATAAAAGTGACATATGCTTCTTATATAAAGAATTTAGGCTAAACAGCAACACAACACTAAGAAAGTAAAAGTACCTCCTATCTAAAGCTGACCATTATTAATATTGATGATGAACATCTTTCCATTTTCTGTATATATACAGATGTGAAATGGATATACAGACAATTTGATAAGAATCCTATACTAGAGGCAGTACTTAAGTGTTTGAATTTAATTTTATTCAATCTTAGAGAAAAAAAACCTAAAGCGGATGCTAAAATTTCCATTAGCTTTTGTACCACAAAATATTTTAAGTTTTCTCCAGAAATGAAAAACATCAGAAAGCTGGAACAGTCCTTAACCCCCTCCTCATTTTATATGTATTGAATATTAGTGGCTATGCCAACTATAGACATCAGCATTCTTAATTTTTTGTCGCCTATTTCTCATATTATTTTTAGTGGCAACTTTTAAAATCTATGTTCTATCCTAAAATTATTTATATTGATTTTTTGTTTATAGTTCTAAATTTAAATGGATCAAATGCTCATTAATCTATATGTGAAGTCTCATCTTTATTTCATCTTTGGTTAGCTGGATATTATTAATAAACTTTTCCACAAATAACTTATAGGTGTTAAATTCTATGCATTCATTTGAAAGACAACTTTAGGCCATGTATTCTTTTGCCTTTTCATTTAACCCAGTGATCTAATGCTTCTGGAATTACATGTTGCTGTGGAAGATCAGCAGCCAGTTTGATACTCTGACACGTATACAAATAATGTGCATTTAGTTTTTTAGGTGACCTCTTTTGCTAGTGTGAAAAAGTCATTCTTTACACTTAAGATGTAGTTGATCATTCTGTATCAATTTTTCTTGAAACACTGCATTGCTGATCTATAGATGTATCTTTTTTAGTAAGATTTAATAGTATCATCTTTGAACCCTTTATTTCCATGGATACCAGCTGTGTTCATACAGAATCATTTTTTTCTGTCCTTAATATATCTATTACTTATGTGATTGTTTTCATCCTCCCCCCACTACTGAGAGGAGGGCTTGGTGCCTGCTAGGGGAGTTTTGCACCACTGAGCTACATCTTCATTTCCTTTCATCTTAGTTTGTAAAAAACTTAATTGTCTCAAATCTTTATTTTGTCAACATGTGTCAGTAGTTTATTCCTTATTGTTGAATTATATTCAGTGGTATGGATATAATATAGTTTAACCATTTACCTGTTGAACAACTGGATTGTTTATGGATATTATGAGTCAAGCTCCTATAAACTTGTGTGTATAATGCATGGACATAAGTTACTTCTCTGGGATAAATGCCTAAGAGCATAATTAATAGGCCATTTAGTAGTTGCATGTCTAGTTTAAGAAACAATCTAAATATTTTAGAGTAGATGTTCCATTTTATTTTTGTCAGCAGCATATGATTGAACCAGTTTCTCTATATCCTTGCCAGCCTCTTGTGTTACTATTTTTATTTTAGTCCTTCTGATGGGTATGTAGTAAAATATCTTTCATTGAGATCAGAACACACATGCTATGATTTCTTTTTTAAAAATTCGTTAAGCTGGGCATGGTTGAGCGTGTCTATAATCTCAGCACTCAGGAGGCTGAGGCAGTAAGATCACCACAATTTCCAGGCCAGCTTGGGCTTCATAGTGAGTTCAAGGCAGTCCTGAACTAACTACCAAGACCCTGTCTCAAAAAAAAATTCTTTTTTTTTTTGAGACTTATTTTGTGGCCTAACATGTGGTCTGTCCTGGAGAATATTCCATATTTTGGTAAGAAGAATGTGTATTTTATAGCTGTTGGATTACATGTTCTGTAAATGTATGTGAAGTCTATCTGGTCTATAGTATAACTTAATTCCAATGTTTCTTTGTTAGTTATTTGTTGGAGGGTAGTCTGGATGACCTGTCCATTGATGATAGTAGGGTATTGAAGTCTTTACTATTGTATTTGAGTTTATCTCTCCCTTTAGAGCTAATAATGCCTGCTTTATACAGTTGGCTACACTAGCATTGGAGAGATAGAATATATATATATATATATACACACATATATATATTAAAGGATTCCTTTAATTATATTTATATAATAATTTATATATAATTATATTATATATAATTATAATTATATTATATAGTGACTTTGTCTCTTTTTATGTTTTGAATTTTCTTTTTAAAAATGTTTTATCTGATAGAAAGGCAGCTACTCTTGCTTGCTTTTAGTTTCATTAGTATGCTATATCTTTTTTCATACCTTCTCTTTCAACCTGGTTGCATTATTGTTTAACTGAGTATCTTATAAGTAGGGTGCTGTTGGGCTTTATTTTAAAAATCTGTTTAACCAGTCTATCTTTTAATTGGGGAATTTAATCCATTTACATTCATATCTATTGTTATTGTTTTTGTTATTAATTTGTCATTGCTATTTTTTTACTTGTTGCTTTGCATCTCTCTTTCCTTCTTTCCTTCCTTTCTTTCTTTTCTACCGGGGATCAAACTTGGGACCTTGTGCTTGCAAGGCAGGCAGCAGAACTACTGAGTTAAATCCCTGGCCCTGCTTTGTATATTTCTTATTCCTTTGTTCCTTTCTTGTTCATCATTGTTAATTGGTAATTTTCTATATTGATAAGGTTTGATTCTCTTTTTTTTCTTTGTATATCTATTGCACTATTTAGTTTTATGCTTTTTTCCCCAAATATTTTCTAACATAAGACTCCCTTAGTCATTTCTTATAAGACCATCTGGTGGTGATGAATTCCTTCAGTTTTTACTTAACATGAGAGGCTTTTATTTCTCCTTCACTTCTTCTTCTTTCTTTTTTTTTTTTTTTTTTTTTTTGAGACAGGGTCTCACTATGTAGTTAAGACTGACCTGGAACTCACTATGTAGCCAGGCTGGTCTCGAACTCACAGTGATCCTCCTGCCTCAGCCTCCTTAGTTCTGGGATTACAGGTGTGTGCCACCATGCCCAGTTCTCCTTCACTTCTGAGGAATAGTTTTCTTGGGTATTATACTCTTGGCTGAAATTTTTTTTTTCTTTCAGGAATTTGAATATTTCACCCTAATTTCTCTTAGGTGGTAAAGAGTCTGCTGAGAAGTCTTACTCTTTCTACTTTTTAGAATTCTCTGTCTTGTATTCACGACAGTTTTACTGTATGCCTTAGGGATAATTTTTTTGGTTAAATCTGTTAGGGGTTGGTCCTTGCATTTCTTGGAGCTGGTTGTCCATATTTTCTTAGATGTGGAAAGTTTTCAGTAATTATTTCATTCAGTAGTTTTTCTGTGCCTTTTCTTTTCCCATCTTTTCTTGAATACAAGTAATGCAAAAATTTGTTGCTTAATGGTGTCTGATAAGTCTTCCCTTTTATATTTACTTAAAAATTTTATAGGTACATTTTAGGTATACATGATAACATTCATCATAGGGAATTTGTACCTGTACATGACGTATCTTCATTTTGTGTGTGGGCGGGGTACTGGGGATTGAACTCAGGACATTTGCACTTGGGAGGTGGGTGTGGTGCCACTGAACTACATCCCTGGCCCTACATGATGTGTCTTGATTCCTGATTTTTTTCCATTCCCCTCCTCTCCCTTCAGCCCCTCTTCCCCTCCTTATTTACAAAAGCTTTGTTTTCATTTTCCCCTTCTATTCTTTTTTCTTGTCCCTTCTTTCCTTCCCCTTTTTTTGTTCCCCTTCTCATCTGAATATTTTCTTCCCATTTCCCAATGTCTATTATACATTTTCATCCTTACTTACACTTTCAGTTTCTCACATCAGGGAAACAATTTGGTATTTAAAGCTGTGTGTCTGATTTATTATACTTAAGAGTATGTTAGGCTTTCTTTGTTCTTTAAACGATTATTTAAAAATCTGACTGGCTTATTGTCTTCAAGTTCAGAAATTCTTAATCCTGTTTGTGTAATTTTGTTGTTGAGACTCTTGACTAAGTTTTCAGTTTCATGTGTCGAGTTCTTTGGCTCCAAGATTTGATTGAGTCTTTTACTATCTCTATCTCTTTGCTGCATATCTTATTATATCACAAATTGTCTTCCTAATTTTGAACTGTTTACATTCTCTTGTGTCTCATTAAGTTTCCTTAAATCATGCTTTTAAATTCTTTGCCAGGCCATTTGTTGATTTCCTTTTTCTTGGAGTCTGTTGCTAGTTATTGTGTTCCTTTGCGGGGGTCATGTTACTACTTCTCATGCTTGTTTCCCTATGTTGATTTTTGTGCCTCTGGTGAATCAGTTGCTTCTATCAATTTTGTAGGATGATTTTAATAGCAAAAGACTTTCTGTTAGTGATGTGTGCTAGGATGTTGTTGGTTGAATATGCTGCACTGGCTTTGGTTCCATCCAAGTGGGTACTGTAGTGTCTATACAGCTTCTTCAACTGTAGCCAACATTGACAA